ATTCTTGAAAAAGAAAACTTCTCAAGGTTTCTAGTCTATAAATCTAGAATTCTTTTTAAAATTTAAAGTTTAATTCTCACTTGTAAAATTGAATCATATATAAATAGCAGTTATGATAGAAATTCAAAATAAAAATAAATTTTAAATTATCTTTACGTTATCTCAGTGGGCATTGCACTTCATGACCTATATACTGCATTTGTTTACCAATAACAGAGGAATCGAGGAAATTCGGATTAGGAAAAAAACCATCGTTTTTGGAAGTAAATAAGTCAAGTAGAACTGCAAAATGGGTAAGATTATAGATATTTACGAAGAATAGGTGCTTGCTGCATTGAAAATTTTCATTTATAAAGATATTACAATAGATTATAGTACAATGAATTAATCAGGACAAGCCCTCACCACAATCGGTCACACGGACCGGTACTGTAGCGAATTTCATCGGACATTTCGATTTTCTATCGGTTTTGCCGGTAGGACCGATAGTTTTCGGAAACTCTGCACTTTTCCTTTAACAATTTCAAAGGACCTCTAACTGTATGACCGAACACCAATTCAAAAGGACTGAATCCAAGAGACTCCTGGACTGCTTCTCGTGCAGCAAATAGCACAAGATGAACCCCTTCATCCCAGTCTTTCTCATACTGGTAACAATAGGTCTTCAGCATTGTTTTTAGGGTTTGATGAAAACGTTCTAGCGCCCCCTGGGACTCAGGATGATAAGCAGTTGATCTATATTGCCTTATACCCAACTCATGCATGACTTGCTGGAACAACCCCGACATAAAATTTGAGCCTTGATCCGACTGAATTGCCTTCGGTGCTCCTACAAAACTGAAAAACTTGGTTAGGGCCTTAACTATGCTCTTTGCCTTTATATTCCTAAGAGGTATGGCTTCAGGAAATCGAGTGGATGTACACATAATGGTAAGTAAATACTGGTTTACCTACCATCTGACAGACATGGCATGACTTGCAAAACTTTGAAACATCCTTTCTTAGCTTAGGCCAATAAAAATGACTCAAAATCCTATTCTAAGTCTTATTGATGCCTAAATGACCAGCCATCGGTGTATCGTGAGCTAAACTCATGACATCTCGACGATAAGCAGCTGGGACTACTATCTGGTGAATAACACGCCACACTTCATCTAGAGAAGCATCAGGTGGTCGCCATTTTCGCATAAGGATGCCATCTTTCATATAGAAGCATTCTCCAACTTTAGTAGCCTCTTCTGGTGGAAGTGCCCTCTTACTAAGTTGAATGATATCTTGGTCTTTATGTTGTTCAGAGAGTAAACGTTCTCGGCTGAGGATGTCCTTGCCTTGGCTAACTAGTGGATGCAACTCATCATCCTCACCACCACATTTTGGTAACAGTTCTTTCTTCTCTTGCTTCTTGATATTGTGTGGTTCCTTGTTGGTTTGAGTGCCATCAAGGTCACGTAAAAAAGTGTCATTCAAATCAATATCAACAGAGGAATTCGTCTCGTCAAAGGCTTGAGTATGGTCTGCCTCCATTTCTCGTCTTCTGGCCATCGTTCTAGTAACAGCACAGGCTGGATATGTGTCATCATCTTCATCATTATACATGACATCTGGAGGGATCTTCTCACAAACTATAGAATCTGGTACAACTTTTCCACCAGCTAAATCGTTGCCTAGCAACAAAGAAATGCCTGGAACGGGAAGAGTAGGTCGAACACCTACGATAACAGATCCAGTAACTAAATCTGACTTCAAACTAATTCTATGCAGGGGAACATCAATGACACCTTGCTCCACACCCTGTAATAAAACTGTCCCACCAGTAGAAGTCTGCTCAGACAAAGGAAGCACGCCCTCTAACAATAACGTCTGTGCAGCACCAGTATCTCTCAAAATCTGGACAGGTTTTATTTCGCTAGAGTCACCGAGTGAAAGAAATCCCTGAGACATAAAGGGCTTATAATCCTCCATAGAATCAATAGCACTGGACTGTGAACCCTGGTCATCAGGAGTGTCAGAACAAATCGAAACTAAGGCTTCTCTATCACCTCTAACTGCCGCACAAGCATGTGGTTGAGTTTTATCAAAAATCATTTTTTCTCTTAAGTTTAAAGCATTCACTGATCAGATGACCCTTTTTCTTACAATAACTACAAGTAGGAAGCGACCCTATTCCAGACGATCCTTCAACACGTCCTGGACAGGACTTAAAACCAGCTTGTGATGGAGACTGGGAACTTGTGAAAGACTGAGACCCTGAACCACTCTTTTTATATGTGTCTGAATTGGTAGAATTACTGCTAGTCTGAGATCTTGATACAAAATTCGTTTTATGAGACAGAGCGTAAGTATCAGATGACCGAACATGTTGACCACTCTGGAACGTTCAAGAAACTTAATGTTATTATTATATACAAGATGAAACAATACAAATACAACACATCTCACAACACCTCCCCCCTTAAAAAGTTTGAATGTCAATGAAAACTTGTATTATTAAAATAAAAGTTATGTACATTAATACAAAATCTAGTGTGTTTACGATACTCTTGATACTCTTGACAAGGCGTCTACAATAACATGTTGACCACTCTGGAACGTTCAAGAAACTTATTATTTCAGATTCCCTATAAATCAAACAAACAATATGGATGTTATTTTGTTTGTTTAATGTGGCGCTTCTGGCCGCGGTGATCAATTTGCTGGGACTACCACAGGGCTGCCCCACAATCAACAATCAATACAACAAGTGTGACGACCCAAATCGGGCGGATCATGCACTGGGTAGGTCACAAGTGCATGAACGTCACCAATGCAATAATCAATCAAATTCAATTAATCAATTATTAATCAATCAGTCAATCAATCCATTCAAATATCAATCAAGTCAATTACTTGTCAATCAATCAATTATTAATCAATCAATCAATTCAAATATCAATCAAGTCAATAAACAATGGAATGAGCGTACGAATATGTGTTACACTCGTCCAATTGCGTTGAGGTGCGACGGAATACGCCACTTGCAAGGGCCATGACTGCTCGTATCTACTACGAGTAATCATGGAACTGCAACCGCCACCAATGGGGTGCCAAGACGGCGTCAGTACCTCAACGCAAATGGTCACCGTCGACCAGGGCCTGCTCATTCACCAATAAAAATTTACAGAATAAGTGATTACACAAGTTTTACAAAAGGAGCCAAGGACTTGTCCGTATAAAACAACTACTATTTCCTCTAACATTGTTGATACTTACCGACACTGTATTTTTCCATTGGTTACTTGTATAATTTACTTAAAAAGCTGTCACTCCTTATATGGCTTTTAAATCATTAAAGCACCTCTTACCAAGTTTCCTTGCGTGACAAAGTAATATAGAACTTAGAAAAATATAACTTTCTTTGCAAGTGTTGCTTATAGTTGTCTTAAAGGATTTTGTACTGAAACAAACCAAAATTTGACTTCGATGAACAGTGTTGCCATTGTTACTTAAAATAGAAATGTCTGTGAAATTCTTTTAAAATGCTACGCCTTCTACAGTTTTGTTCTGATTTCAATGGCTTCTTTTCTCATCCTTTGTTATAAGTACAAACCAGTAGAGCTACAGCCTCGACAGAGACTTCTGGTTATTAAACATACTAACTAAGTACATAGTTCAAACGAGCAAGAATGTCTCTACCAAAATTGGATTTCATGGCCCCAGGGTAAGGGGTTCTGGTGTTAGGGTGGGGCTCTATTGATAATTTAGTGAAATGCATGAATTCTTTGAAAATCTTCTCTGCTACTGGGTTTTAGACTAACTAAACGCATAGTTATGACAAGCAAGAATGCCTCTTCCACAATTATGAATTTTATTACACCTGGTTCGAGGGTTTTGGCGTAAGGGCGGGGCTCTGTTGATTATATAGTGAATATACATTAATTATTTTAAACTTTCCTCTGCTCCTAGAAAACGAAGTACAAAGATATTTTGAATAAAACTGCCTCTCATAAAATTATGAATTTTAATTCTTTAGAAATCTCCTCCTATGCTCCTGGGTATTAAACCAATAAACTATGTGCATAGTTATGATGTGGAAGCTAAAGATGCCTCTTCCAAATTTGTGAATTTCAGGGTCCCTGGGGGCAATGGTGTTAGGACAGGGCTTCAATGAGTGTGCATGAATTCTTTGGAAATCTTTTCCTGTGCTTCTTAGTGTCATTCCATTGATCTAAGTTCATAATTATATATTATGAAGAGAGGTTCCTCTTTCAAAATGATAATTATCAAGGCCCCTTGGTCAGCGGTACATGTAATTTGGGTGGGTTTGGGGCTATATAGACTGAAAATAAATTAATGCTTTGAAATCTGCTCATTAGTATTAATCAATTTTTTATGATGAAATTAAATTGATGATAATTAAATATAACTAAAAAATTTTGAAATATATGGCCCCAGGTTCAGTTTTGCACAAATGGTTATAAAAGGAATGCATTTTCTCTTTGTTATAACTAGAATAAGCACGTTGTATAGTGTAAACTTATGATAAGCAGTAGTGCCGCTTTCAAAATAGTGAATGTCATGGCTTCTGGTGTAAAATACCTACCAAATTTAATTATTTGAAAGTTGTTACATGATGCACAGGTGACCTATAAGACCCTTGGGCCTCTTGTGCTCTTTACAAGTCAATGTTTTCATGTAAACAATGTGGCGCATGAATCTCTTGTCTAAATAAATACCATAAAGTATAATGGAGAGTTAACACATTGAACTTTCTTAAATTAAATGGTATAATTTGACTAATTATAAGATGATATTTATGACCTTTGTCTATTGGAAACAAGAAATACACTGTAAGCTTCCAAAATTCAAAAGGAATATAATGAGGTTAAACATTTTGTTCAACAAATTGGTATGAGTAGGGGTAGGGAGTCATATTTAATGTATCTAGGTGTTTACAGTGCCATGCTTGAAAACATAGCATTCATGTAATATATATCGTTATCTTGTATTCAATATCATTTCAGAGTAGAAAATGATGACAATAGTGAAATCATCATTATTGTATGCTGTGCTTCTGTACTTCTGCTGGTCCTTACTAGTTCCTTTTTGCTGTGGAAAAAGAGATGCCCTAAACAACATGGTAAGCTACAATTTCAATACATCTCCAAAACAAATTAACTTTGTGTCTTGTAGAAAATACTCATCAGAACTAGATGGTATTACATGTATAAATCTTTATGAACACTCCAAGCTTAAGTCTTAAAGCATTGACATAATAAAAAAGGAAAGAGAGCCGTTGGAATGTTGATATCTAGAGCATCCTTTTAAACACTTTTATTTGAGTGGTTGTTTGTCCTTGATACTACTTTTAAAAATTGACAACCAGTCTGAAAACCCATTTTAACTCCATTTTCTATTGGATGACTGTGTGTCATTTTCATCGCCAACTAATCACAATATGAAAGCTTTGTACAAAACTTTACCAAACCGGAAGTGATTTGGATCTTAGTCTGAAGCCATGGATTCGCGACATAACCAATTCAAAGACTGCTACATTGTACTGAAACAATTTTTTATTAAAACAAACAACTTCATTGGTAAGAAAATTATCAAATAATTTGGTACTTGTGGCAGTCTGACATCATCTTAAACATTCTAAATCATCCTTAAAGCAATATGAGCTGCATATTTGACATCGGAAAAAAATATTTGAAATTTGTAATTAACTAATTCAATGACAGGAAAATAGAATGTTTATAAACTTCTGTTGTTCATATTTGCTTTGGAAGAACTTTTTATAAGCTTGGATTGAAGCAAAATTGAATTATTGTCGTCCTGTACAATAATGATTTCTCATACAATACCGTATATTGGGTTGTATTTCTTCTGAAATAATTTTAAACTTTTTTTGGCCTTCTTGATCATAAGGGTTAAGATTACATACAGATCAATCAAAATAACACATTTTACAAGCAAAATAAAATTCTCAAAAATGCAGCTCATGTTGCTTTAAGCAGACCACGTACTTGCTCAACGCGACAAAATGCATCTGTGTGATGATGCACTGCCAAATTCAGGATCTGAATCTCTCTGAACACATCTGGGATTTTTATAAAAAAAATGTCATCCCTACACACAATTTTGACGTTTTAGAAAGATCCATGTATTGGATGTTGCAGTAGATAGGCCAACGTCATGTTTAGAGGACCATTGTATCCTTGAGAAAAAAAAATGTCTTGCAGTAATTTGAGCGAGTATTGGCCTTACTCAATATAAATCACTTTATCCGAATTTTCATTTCGAGGATACATCATGTACTGCAAATCACTTTTTATTCGCGAGAACTTTATTTTCGCGTAATTACGCGAGGCAGTGTGCTCGCGAAAATTTAATTCTCGCGTATTATAGTATTCCTTAAGATTATATAGAGCAATAACCACAATTCGCGAAAATTTTGTATCTCTAATCTAGAGTCGATGGCTATCTCGCGAAAATAAGGTGTCGCGAAAATTTAGTGATCTACAGTACTTCAGATACTTTCAGGAAATTTATTCAACATCAAACTTAAATATTCATTATGATAATTAATCATGAATTAAGAAATTATTTATTATGTGCATTTGTTCTTTAAAACTTTTGAAATTGGTTCAGCATGTTCAGTGTATAGTGGAATTGCATTACTGTAAATCACTTAATTTTAGCGACACCTTATTTTCGCGAGATAGTCACTGACTCTTTGCAAAACAAAATTTTCACGAATTGTGGTCATTGCTCTATATAATCTAAAGGAATTCTATTATAAGCGAGAATGAAATTTTCACGAGCACACCGTCTCCCGTAATTACGCGAAAATACAGTTTTCACAAATTCAAATAAAATCTGATTTACAGTAATTCTTTGTTTTCTGGTCTTCAGTATTAAACAGGCAAACTATATACACAATTATGATGAGCAAGAGTGTCTCTTCCAAATTTTAAATTGCAATGTCCTAGGGTCAAAGATTGTGGTGCTAGGGTGGGTCTCTTTTGATTGTATGGTAAAAATGCATAATTTTTTGAAAATCTTCTCTGTTCCTGGGTATTAAACATACTAACTTCATAAGTAGTTATGATGAGCAATGGTCCTTCCTTCAGAATTGTGAAGTTTAAGGCCCCTGTTTTATAGGTACCGTAGAGGTGGAGGGTTGTGGTGTTGGTGCCTTTATATATTATATACTGAAAACATAGTAGTCAGTAAATAGTCATAGAATACAGAGCTAAGCTTAACGAATGTGTGCCTTAAAGTAAGGCAAAATCCTACATTAAGCTAATAGTCTAGAAATGTGCATCCCAAGATCAATCAGCAGGAAAATCTAGATGCAAGCCCGAAAGTCTGCATCTATAGATGTCTCATCCAAGTCTGTTCAACATACATGTAGGGCTTATAGTTACTTGAAAATGAGACCAGCACCAAACACTTTAATCTGCTCGTTCATTCGGAAAATGTACGGTAGGTCAAACCCAGCATTTAAAGGAAACCCGTTAGTATCATTCCTACATTTACCCGCAGGGGGAATAAGGAAGCATACAAAATTTTCTACCTTGGTTAAATCAGTGCTGCATTATGACGTCATAGTAGGCAAGATGACGTCAATTTTAGAAATAAAGTTTTCGTAATATTGGTATTTATCTATGTAATTTAACTCTAGAAAATGATTAGAAACGTGTAAACATTAACAAAAATAAAATGTGTTTATCTTGTCATGCTGTAGCAGTCATTATGATTGAAATCTACCATCGATGACGTCATATGTGTAACTCAAGTAACTTGGAAATTGATTATGTCGTGTAAAGAGAATTTGGCTAAGACGGCATGTTCAAAGATACGTAAAATGCAGTTTAAAAAGAAATATCGGAAATATTGTGTTAAATTCATATGGAGTTCAATTAATTTAACAGGTATGCTAATGTATTTTCATCGATTATATTCTCTTTCGAAGACAGTCAGCTATATTACGTATCCCGGTTGGCCTATCGTCTGTCATTCTTGACCAAAAAATGCAACAGAACAACAATAAGCTGGATATTTCAAAACATACGATTTGTAAATATTGAAAGTTTGCGTTAAAACAAACTTGGAAAGTGCTGCTAGAATCCCGAGTTAGGCATGATTGTACGAAAAATCTCGATTAATATGTATAAAATTCAAAACAAAGGGTAAAGATTCGTGCGAATGTGTGGAATAAATATTTTACGGACAAGATAGTGGGATTCTAGCAGCACTTTTTAGATAAAATAGATGTTTTTCAGCTATATTACATACTCAAAGAAATTATCAAACTACGGGGTATTGTTGTTATGTAAGTCTTTTTATTAAGGAAAATTTTGCTATTAATAGAAGTCACGTGATGCCGTGGCGGTGATGTACGTCTTTGCCTTAGACACGCTTTTATCTGTATGCAATAGTAAATAACAGTTTACGTTTATCAGTGGTTTTGGTAATTTATTAAACTAAATTTTCTTCAAAAAGTCTAAATTTCCCGAGAAATTACTTATATGCTTCCTTAATATACCTGCGCCTATATATACTATATACCTAACGTGTATTTATCACTCAATTTCACTGTAGAATTAATGCAATCACGTGACGTCGTGATCCGACTTTCCGGATCACTACACTGTTGGTTTTCTGAATCCACATCACTACTCTCTAAAACTGATGACGTAGTACGCTAAAACATGACGTTATTTTTTTCTTTTGCGTTAAAAAGTCCATTATTATTATGCTTTGTTTTATGAATAAATATTATACAATTGGTCCTTAAAGTTTTATTTTGCTATATTTTGCTAGTTATAAGGAGGTATATTATTAGTTACACAGTCAGTTAGTGACCTAATACGGATTCCTACAGGGTGTAAACTGGAAATCCGTATTGGGCGAGGCGAAGCCAAGTCCCAATACGGATTTCCATTTCACACCCTGTAGGAATCCGTATTACGTCACTAACTGACTGTGTTACAAATTTATCCCGCTGAAGACCTTTTTCAATATAAAAACAATGTTAGTGCATATGATAAAAATATTAAGTTTTAATCCAATAACAATCAACATAAAATATTGTTACGGTAACAAGAAATTTAACTAACCTACCTACGCAAACCGTTTCCTAGCCGCCATTTTTATTTACAATAACAACGCTGCGAACGGAATCGCGTGCCCGATTTTAATATAACGCCTCGACGGAGACGTTATTTGGAAACGGAGATGTAATACGGAAAATTTCAGGGCGTCTTGTGATCAGCTTTTATCCAATCAGTAATCGACAAATTTGTCTGAAGCGGGATAAAATAAATTTATCATTATAACAGTAATTTGATCCGAAGAGCCGTATCACTTCTCGTTGATATACGCGGATCACCAGATCAAACTAGATCTGATGATCTGCGCCTGTCAACTCAACGAGATACGACTTTTCGGATCAAGTTCCTGTTTTTTAAGCATTGAATTCATATTTTTGGATGTCTTCGGTCCTAAAACATACCTGGCCGTGCCGACAAATTGAATACCGCGCGTTAGTGCTGTATGATAATTTGTCGGCACGGCCAGGTGTGTTATAGGACCGAAGACATCCAAAGATATGAATTTAATGCTTATATTTACATTCTCTAATTTTCCTTCTTCATAATTGCTTATTTTGTTCATTTTAAATGTGAATTAAACGCCCTTCAAAACTGTCGTGATTAATAATGTAAGAGTCGTTTGTGACGTCAAAAGACGTTAAATGACGTTGCAAAGTTAAATAACGCACACAAACATTGCGAGGAAAAAAGTGATAATTTTTCTCTTAACGCGCATAACGTTAATTTTTACGTTAATTTTTCAGGGTTATAGTTTTTCATTAAATCGTAATAAAAAAAATTACATTATGGTGTCCCGAGAGTATTGAAAATGCTTATTGTTCTTTCTGTTTTTTCTAACGTGCGGTGACAAGGTATTGCGTGTGTTATTGAAATTTGAACGTCATGGATTTCTAATGGATTTCATAGGGAAAATTACACTAAATGTTAATATAATAATATATATGTATCACAATGCAAGTTTGGTAAACTTAGGCTTAAACTTACTTGAAAATGAAACCTGCTTTAATCAGCACCAAAAACTTTAATCCAGTCATTCCTTAGCTAAATTACAGTGTCTGAAACATTGAATGGTTTAATGAAAGTATCTTGCATGCATATCTGACCAATGTAGAGTATAGAAATTCTAAAAGAAAAAAAAAACTACACCAAAAGCATTAACCTGGGACGAGGGTATAACATAATTATAAACACCAACAACTTCATTGGTGTGAGCTAATGAATTGATGCTTTGATCAATGCTTTAAAAATGCTTTGAAATATGCTCCTTTGTATTGAACAAACATTTCTGATGAGCAAGGGTGCTATTTCCAAAATTGTGAAATGTGTGGCCCCAGGGACTGGGGTTCAGCTGATAATTGTGATTTTTACTGATATGTTGAAGTGATTTTTTTTTGTTCTCCTACTCTGCCTTTGAGTATTGATGTTACCTCACTGAGCATTGTAAGTGTATTATTATAATCAAGTGTGATTCTCTAAATTGTGAATGTCGTTTCCTCTGACATCGTCGCTTGCCAAGGGTTTCTGATAAGCTACTTTCCTCATAGGCAATTGGCTTTTGGCATTAAAAAATGTCATTATTTTTCAAGTTGTGATTACAGTCGATCGACACCGCTCGACCAATCAGCAATGCAAAAGTTTTTGTTTTGTTTTTTGTATATGACGATATATGAGTTCCGGATAAATTTTGACTCTTATGAAAAGCAAGAATACAACGAGCCGTAAGAAAGCATGCAATTCTATGAATAAGTTTGATGCCATCCAATATCTTTAAAACATATGATTAAGGATCTATATTGAAATGGTACACATTTGTACTTTAAATAATAAAGGAAACTGTCGATGACCCAATTTGTGCGTACCTGGTAAATTTGAGATCATGTGACGAAAACAATTCCGTCTTTTGATTTTACTGTATACCAAGGTTCATGAGGAGAGGTGCGTATCAGAAACCTTTGGCTAGCTAAGATGGGCCTCTGATTTAAAACATGAACCAAGGTCAATTCGACGGTATGTGAAAGCTACATCCAGATATTCTACTTGATTTTTTTTTTCAAATTATATTTTAAAGATCAGTTTTGGACAAGGGATAACTTGTTATAATTGTATGGGTTCGTATTTGAGCTCATTTGAGCTTTTCTGCTCATGTTTTGTCCATCATCCAACTTTCTGTCTCTCCCTTCGTCTTCTCAAGAAAGTCTAGGCCAGTTTAACCGAATTAACCTAAATGAAACGGGCTACGATATGTATAACAAGGAAAAAACAGGTAAAGATCAGCAGGGCTAGAGTTACTCTGATGGGTGTCGTGAAACATGGGCCTCTTGTTCTCAAGAACCACCATTAGGAATTTACCTTAAAATGTTTTTTTTTCAGAATTATGAGAAAGAATTCAAAGTATTTGATAGTGTGCATTTAAATACAGGTTTTAAAAATTAATGTATTGTGTTCATATTTTAGATGGCACTTGCATTTCATCTAAAGAAATTCAACTGGAACCAAAGGAATCCGACTTAAACGAGTGTTCAGAACTGATGCTTAATGGGACTGTAAAAAATTGGAGTATAAAAAATAATCCAGGTTGAGCTTGATTACTTTCAACAAACATCAAACAACTCCATTGACTTTTAACCATATACCATGCAACATTTTTATTGGCCGCGGAATAATTGCGCCTTCAATTACACTGTAAACACTGTAAATATATGTTTTTAATTGTGGAAAGTATGAACATTATGCAAAAAGCTGTATACATTAATGTCTAAATTAATGGGTTTGTTGTTTTTATTCAGAAATATGTGATTTTCATATATAATGGTCTCAGATTCCATTTTTAGCTCACCTGAGCCGAAGGCTAAAGTGAGCTTTTCTGATCACATTTTGTCCGTCGTCCGTCCGTCCGTCCGTCTGTCCGTGTTTACGAGAGTGCATTTATTGGGTATTTTTCATGCCAAGATTGTACTTATTGGGTACTTTTTGCTTATTGGGTATACCCAATAAGAAGTGTCGCTGAATATGCTTAAAACACCCCAATTGGGTATTTGCAGGTTAGTACCCAACAAAACTTGGACACGACGATTTGTCCAAAAAAGTGTCCAAAAAAGTTGCTTTCACGGACGCACCGTGTTTTGTGTTTCAGTTTTACATTCGGAACTCTAAATTCTCGAGAGTTCCGAAAATCAACTTCCGTTGATCCTGATCATAACAACGTTTGTTTTCATGGGAAAAAATATGGCGAGTAAGAAACACTTAATGTCAACAACATTGTCAGATTGACAAGAGAAAAGGTAAGTTTATTCGATTAATATTTATCTATTGCTGGGTTCTTGTTTAAGGAAAATTGATTTTAATGTAATTTTGAAAACAATTGTGCACAAAATTAAAATAGATATATCGGAACAATTAATCCTAAGTTGCACTTGTATGTATTTTGAATTTTCTCTGTCTTTTTAACTCTCTTGAGGGCAAGAAGTATTTAGTAAATGATCGTATATTATTAGATAATCTTTAATAAATCGAAAGTGTTAATTATTTAATTTTATATCATAACCAACTAAGTATGTTCTGACAATGTATATTGGAAAGGGAAATGAAAATCTTAACAATCGTGTGTTCATAAATCAGCTGTAAATTATCGGTTCATGTAGACAGTATTACAATCGCAAAGTGAGCTGGGATGAGATAAATGGGATAATTGACAACAACTAAATAATTGTATGTAAGTTTATCTCATCTGATATGTAAGAGAATCATTGTATTACTGAAAAACGTTCAGTCAAAACTGTGCTTCTTTCTGTCTTTGATTTTGAGTGTCTGCTTTATTTTGATTTTTTTTAAATTATTGTTTTTGGCATTTGTTTTAATTAATCTAAAACAATACTGAAATTGATATAGGGCTACTATAAATATTTCACATGATGGGTGTGTAATTAGCATCGCGCTACACCAGGGGCTTCCATTGTTGAGGATGGGGCTAGTGGTTTTCTGCACTGAGGAATCCCCTTGGGCTATTATATATAGGAATTTTAAAATACACATGTAATGCATGAAAAGCACCACCGGTATTTTCACTCCTTTTTGCTATTAAATTCCCTATATGAAAATATTCCAGACAGCATGCTCCTATTATCTATAAATCTCCACAACTGCATCCATTTTGCATTACTACCAGACTGATTTACTTAAAAACGATCTTTTTTTTCCTAATTTGAATTCCCCCTTTCCTTTGTTTAATATAGCAATATTTGCATGTACATATATGCCTCACAGATATCTCATTATTTAATTATATACATTTACTCAATCAGCTCAATGATAAGTGTCATGCAATTGTGTTGCGCTTCTTTTATTTAAAGCCATATATGGCGTAACTGATCAAAAAATATATTTTTGAAAAATACAAAATTAAGTAAAGAAATATAGTTAATACATTTAAATTAAAGCTTTTCATACAATTCGGAGCACGGAGAACACCTCGTTTCATCTAATAATACGATTTTATCTTCTCTGTAATGTGTTACAATGAAGCGAATTGAAGTGGTAAAATTTCCCGTTTGAATGGAACGTTTTGAGCTATCTTTAGAATGTTGATTGTCATACAATGACACGCCCATTTCTTTAGAAAGTAAAAATCGGTCAAATGGTTCATTGGAATACCTGTAGAACAGGTATTCTAAAAATAAAATATCCAATCAAATTGACGGACTACATAAACATAGAGTACGCATGTGTTCGACCAATACATGTGTTATGGAAACTCCAATAAAAATGATTAATTCATAATTATGTACAAATTCGTTGCAATACGTATTTTATAGTAGCTGGAACTCTCTAAATCTTTCTTATAACTTTAAAAATATCCATTTCAGTAAAACTCCTGTTGCTTTTCGCAAAGAGTGGGGTGTCCTAAAACATGACGACGAGTATTTCTTGTTCGTTTCTATAGAAGTGGGGCGTGTCATTCTGTAATAATTGACGTTCAAAACATGACTCAGAACCTTTCATCCAAACGGAAAATTTTACCACTTCAACGCGCTTCATTGTATTTAAATCTTTTGTATTTTCTTCCGAGTCGGAGAAAATTTCGAGAATTCAAATTAAATTTTGATATCTTTATAACGCAATTGACTTAGATTTTGTAATTTACGGAAAATTTCTATCTTTATCATGTTTATATAAATTAATGATACAAATAATAATTTTTTGTAATTTCAGTCTAATAATTTTCGTTGTACATACGCCATATATGGCTTTAAATGATTCAAGATGAAAACAGAATGATTTTTGCTTCGTTTTAATTAGACGAACTAGTGAATGACCAGAAAAGGAATATTTAAAATCTTTTTTTCATTTTTTTAAATCATTAATTTATATATGATTAAATTTTACTAGTGACAATTAAATTAAACTTTAATTTTGAAAAGAATCATCTGTAGTTAATACCCTGACTTTTTTCACGATGAACTTTTTTTCAATGTTACTTTTTAATTTTTGCCTTTTTGCTATTTGGGCTTGTCACTTTTTACTCGGGGATAGTAACTTTTTTTATTGCCACCAAGCTGTGGATTAGTACTTGATTTCTTTTATTGCACAGCAATGACTATGATTTAATAGCACAAAAAGCTAATGGGTTTACGTATGTGAATTTATATGATTAATGCTTACTTGTGATTTTAGGATAACTGGAGATAATGATTCCTTTTTTCCATTGATATTTCATAAATATTTTCCTAAGTTTTCCTAAGTATTATGTTACAATAAATTGGTTTAGATTTTTTTTATAAAAGTAATCAATAATTGCAATGGAAATTAAAACCATAATCATGTTCATTGAGGATTTTCATGTATTATGTAACAGGTCAAACAGGAACTTCAATTGTGAACATTGCAGAGAACACACTCATCAGAAGATGACCCTCAGAAATAGGACAATTGTAAGTAATCAGTAAAATGAACAGGAAAACTTCATGCCAACCATAAGATTTTCGCTTCTTAAATTAGAAGAAATAGAGGGAAAAACTTGTACATACTACATAAATACTAGGCAAAACCTTTAACGGCAGTTCGGCAGGAAAGCTTTTGGTATGTGCAATACAGCTACATAAAACCTCTTCAGTATTCATGCTGAGTTTGAGAAAGTACCTTAGTATTTTTTCTAGTGTTTGCCAACATTTTCATGCACACTGTTAGCTTGTTTGTACTATCATTTTACTTTATATTCTTCAGATGCCCTTTACCTTTGCCAGTTTTGAATCATTTGTTTTAAGGGCATCTGAGGGTTGGTTCCAGAACTTAATTAATTGTAAAGTAAATACCGTGGTACTATTCGGTCATAGGTTATGTTAATACGTGTATAACATTTTGTTCTGATAGAGGTGGCATACAGGAAAAGAAACAATACTAGATATCACTTCAAAGGAATAAAATAGCTTCATTTTGAAAAGCACAAGTGATTGCGTAATAATTAACAGTAAATACAGACAGAAATACACTACCATTCTTTTGTAAAGGTGGGGGGGGGGGGGCTGAGAAAAAGAAAACAAAAAAACATGAATTTGATAAAGCATAAGAAAAAGATCGAGGAAATCCTTCTCTAAACTTGAAAACGATTAATGTAGAATTAAGAGTTAAAAAGATACTCATTTTTTATTTGAAAAATTAAACTTCAACATTAATGTGTGTTTATTCATATTGTAGCAGCGTAAAGGCGTATGAATTTTTTTTTTTGGGGGGGGGTGGGGGGGTGGGTGGGGGTGAAGAACTCAAGATTTATCCCTGAAAAGAATGGGTCACCTGTCCCCCAGATACTAACTGCCTGACATGTATATATATTTCTTAACTTCGCTGTAAATTCTGCAATGAATATTCCGATTTACTTATCGATTATAAATACATTAGAAGTTTTTCCGAGTTTATATAAAATTTTATATGCATGCAGCTAGCATCCAAATACGTGACAAGAGTATAAAGTTGCTTTGAATATTGAAGTGGTCAGTATGCGAGTTTATTTGTTTAGACAGTGATTAAATGTGAAGAAATTATTACGTCTTTGGTATTTTCTGCTTATGATATTTTGTTTCTTTTTCGCAAGAAATTGATTAAATGTGTCTTTATGTACATCTACGCGTGTGCTTTAATTTTCGCAATGAACAGGAATATTGCGATTACGTGCATGAGAATTACAAAATGTCCCGGAAAATCGTCAAAGTTTAACATATTAGTGATATTCATCGAAGTCTACAGAGAACTTTTTTAAATTTAAAAAAATGAAAGCTGGTGTATGCACTTTTCAAATACGAGCTACCAGATTGTGTCGCTTTCTATAGAAAACACGCTTTCCAAAGGTATTCACCTGTGGCGGAATAGAATCACGTGACATATTATCTATTCTTGGCAGGTCAACAAGAGGTTAATCCTATGTAAATGTACTCACCGAACAGATTCAAAAATCATGATACTTTTAAGTAGAAGACATAGAGCGCAATGTTGTTCAACAAAGATATTTTCACACAATCTCTATAAATATAATATACACATTATATTTTGATGTCGACTTTGAACAAATCTGCGCTCGATGTTTACGAAAGCTCTTAAGTGGGTACCTGTCACAAATTTCTTTTGATATTCATGAAAATCAAAGGACCCCACCTTCAAACCACAGCTTCGCATGTTCTTTTTTGCAATTATTTGAAATTTTTAAACGTTGGAGCATATACTACAGACATAAGAGAACAATGTAATTTACTTCTTAAGCTTTTTAATGAAAGTTTAAAATTTGACGAGAAACCGGGGACCACAGATTATGGCTTATTGAGACTTCTTCTTTTGTGCAAAGCATACCCCAGGAAGGGGGGATAGAGT